TTCGTAAATAGCGTCAGCCTCAGCGTCGTCCTTATCATAAGGATCTTTGGAAAATAAGGAACCACCATATCCATTGAAGTCATCATAATTGGAATCATTCAAATCCTCCTCCTCTTCCTTTTCTTCTTCCTCGTCCTTTTTCTTGGTTCTCTTAGCCGCTGGTGGTGCGTGTCTATCATCAGACACATCATTCGCGTCTCTTGCGGGACCGATATCAGAACGAGTGGTAAACCCTGTAGCTCCTCTACCTACACCAGCTACATATCCTAGAGGGGCTGGTACTCCTAGGAAATGCTTTTTATTTCGGTTAACTAATGCTTGCGGTGGTGCTGCAGCCATTTTCAGAACACTAAAACATCCACTTGTATAATTTATATGAGCGATGTTATGAATACGTTTTTATATTAAAATGTAAATAAATATGAAACCTAACCTCAAATAATGGTATGACAATGACAGTAATGACAATTAAAACAAATCTGTCAGAAATCATAGGCGTGCGATTAGGTTTACGTTTTACGTTTGAATAAACATATGCTGCGTTTGAATATCCACATCCGTTGCATTTTTTACATCTCGAGCGTTTGTTTATCCACATCGAGCACAATTACTGCATCTATTCGAGATATAGAGCTGTCTGTACAGCCAAGTTTATCGATTTATTCTTTGTTTATGCTAGTGTGAATATAAAAGTGATTAGTTTGTTTAATGTTAAAATTTAACGGATTTAAAAATTTTGGATACTCTTTTCCACCTTGAACCTTTGCAATGAGGAAAAACTCTCAGCCCTAGTGTTGTTTGCCAGCAAAGTACAAATTTCGAAAAGGGAATGAATTGTTGGATAAATGCCTTTGTCAGACCCATTTAAGATATTTATTACTAGTATACGATTTTCTAAAGTCTTGTCCATATTAATTTAATGTCAAAGTTCTTTATTGAAATAGGGATTTATATTGCAGATACTATGATTATTATTATAATTTTATGTTATAGCCGCAGTTTAAACTAGTTTTATTATATTTTTGGGGGAGGGAACGTCTTCACCCCCACGCCTACAAAAAAACGCCTCTACTATGTATTGGCTGTAGGCTTGCAAGAAAAAGAGACCGAATTGAAAATTGATTCTCGAATTTTCGAAAAAAGAAGAATTTGTATGGTTAGGGTTGTGCTATAATGACCGTGTTTACTTATTAAAAATATATTTACAAATTATGGCTCTCAGAGTAACGAATACCATAGGTCTACGCCTTCTACAGGTATATAATTAAACGCTTTAAAATATTAATTTATATAATTTTCATTTTTAGGAGGTTACCCAAGGTTTCTTAGCTCCAGTTGCAGTTACTGCAAATACACAAATAGTCAGACATAGAAGAACGAAGCACTGGAACCCCAAATGGAAACTGTTTCGGCGCTTAAAAGTCATGCCAGTCGAACTGCCAAAATTTCATGAGAAGGTCGAAGACATGACTGATGAGGAACTCAGATTAAGGTTGAAAAAACAAGGAATTTTACCTCCAAGACCTTGGGTCGAAAGGCAATTCTTTATTCACTCTACAGGAGGAGTTTTTGAACCGTATGTACCACCAGAGGGCGATGGAAAAGTTTCACCAGTTTCAAAACAGGTTAGAATTTCATTTTTTAATAATGCATTATTTATGTTATTAATTTTGTAGGGAGCAATGCAAAGTCTACAGTTCTTAGGAAAAAAGTCAAAAACGATGATGGCAATTAGAAAAATTCGCCAGTATGAGGAGGAATTTGATTCACCCAGTTTTTGTAAAGAAGCATCGAAAATTTATATAAAAATGCATGAATTGATGATGGATAAAGATAATGAAGATATTATTGATGTGGTAACTGAGAGAGCTTACCCAGAAGTCATACATAATATTAAGAATAAAACTATTCATTGGAAATTTATTAAAGATATAGAGTTGCCTAGAATTGTGCAAGCCAGATGTACAGATATTATTACAAAGGAAAACATTTTTGCCCAAATTACCGTACGATTTCATACCCAGCAGGTAATTTCTTAAATGATAATAAAAAAAAATAACATTTAGCACTCATTTTAATTTTAGACCTTGGCTATTTATGATAGATTTGGCAGATTAATGCATGGTAGTGAAATCATTGCAAAGGATGTCTTGGAGTATGTCGTTTTTGAAAAAAACGTATCTAATGAATATGGTACTTGGAGAGTACATTCTAAGATAATACCAGATTGGTTGCCTCCCAAAGAACCATCACAATTAACTTACAAGAAAAAGAAGGAAGTACCTGTTGAAGAGAAGAAAGATGAAAAAGTTGCACAAATTGCTGCAGGAAGTAAAGTAGTGGAACAAAGTAAAGCAGGAGAAAAACTTGTTACACAGTAATGTTGAAGAATTAAATATTTGTTTAGTTTATTTTTTTATGAATTTTATTTTCACATAGCGGTATTATCCTAGTAAAAAAAATATGCCATATGAAAGACTACGAATTTATTTTGTTATAAAAATAATAATTAAGGTCCTAGTACAGTAATAATACATGAGCAACAGTTTGGGTCTGCTCCTTTGAAGTTGGAGAGTTAATTTTTGACCATTGGCGTTTTTGCAGCTTATTTCTAAGATAAGAAAAGTAACTGGAAAATACTGAAAAAGATTATACAATAAATGAAAGAACAAAACTAAGTTGAAAGATAATAAAGTATGTCCAGCAGATAAATTCGAAAAGAAATAACATAATGAAGGTCTATTAAGTGTGCTACTTATCATGCTATATGACTGTAGAATGGCCTATTTGGGTCTGCATAGCCTAAATGTTTGTTTTTAAGTTAATTCTTAGTCTGTTGTGATTGAGTTGTAAAAAAAATATAACAATGACAAAAGATATATTTTGGAAAAAATACAATATAGATAAATAGGAATATAAACACATTCTAAAAATATATTATTAAAATTTTGAATAACAAATTTAACAAAAAAAAAGTAACAAAAATATAAAGAACAGAAACTGGCAATTATTGCTTAGTTTCAACACTGTCTTTGATTTTCTGCTTCTAACATTTATAAATGAGTAATTTCTCCTACATTTTAAAATATTTTGGCATTTTTAGCACACTTAATGATCCAAAATTCTCATGTTTCCTGATACAATTTTGTTTTCCAAAATTGCTCCTGACGGTATGTCTATTCTGTCTCCGTGATTGGCAATTATAATAACTGTACCCTGAAAAAGAAAAATACTCATTACATAAATAGGCATATGTATAAAAACAAAAATATCCAAATGCAAAGCAGATTCGGCAACTTCTACTTTTGTATATCAAGTTAACTGAGTGCATACAAAAGGTGGGAGATATGTCAATACCAGTTACTTTTTAATCTGAAATGTAACCGGTATCGATATATCGCTCATCTTTTATGTGCACTCCACACAGGCAGGGCAGTGGAATCGAAGACGCTATAAGTTTGTATTTAATGCTTTGTGAGAACTTGTTTTATTTAATTACTAATTACTTCACAAGGGACTAATTTATCTCTGGTTTTAAAACGACAGTGTGAAAAAATCAACTTACCCTAACAGAAACTCCTCTACCGAACGTCACATCGCCAGACACAGTCAAATGGTCTAACTCCAAAATGTCCGGAATATTAGCGAACCTCTCCAAAAAGTCTTTGACTTTCGAAAAGTGATTATCTCCCAATTTAACCAACGGCGTAGTGGGGAACATTCTTAGCGGAGACATAGTTAGCGACCCGTTCTTCAAAGTGTACAGATTGCTCATGACTAAGAAGAGATCTGACGTTTTCTTGACGGGCAAAAATCTGCTACGTGGCACGTTTATTCCTATACCACCCTCGAATGTTTTCATGGCTGCTCCGACAGCGGTTTCGAGTTGAATGACGTTCTGACCGTTGTCCAGCGATTTGTTGTTGACTATGATTTCCATACTGAGAAGGTCTTTTCGTAGAACTCTGTCGATAGCTGTAACGAAATAAAGACTGATTAAATAATAAAATAATTGTGAATTGCAATAATAAATTGCAATAAATCGTAATTAACCGTAATAAATCGTCATAAATCGTAATTAACCATTACAAATCGTAATAAATCAAAATAAATCGTCATAAAACGTAATTAACCGTAACAAATCGTAATTAACCGTAATAAATCTAAATAAATCGTCATAAATTGTATTAAACTTTAATAAATCGTATTAAATCGCAATGAATACTTGTTCTAAATCGTCATAAATCCTAATTAACCGTAATAAATCTAAATAAATCGTATTAAATATTAATAAATTGTAATATGAAGAACAAAACAAAGTTAATATTAAAATAATCCTTTTTATTTCGCACCACAAACGAATATATACAATCAAATTGCTTTAACATGTTTTTAATTCTATTTTCATGATCGGTTATGTCATTTAAACTTCTGGGAAAATGTTCTTTTATCTAATCGTAATTAACTAATAAATCGACATAAATCGTATTCTTAATAAATCGTCATAAATCATATTAAATCGCAATGAATAATTGTTCTAAATCGTAATTAACCGTCACAAATCGTAATAAATCAAAATAAAAAGTCATAAAACGTAATTAACCGTAACAAATCGTCATAAATAATAATAAATCGCAATTAACCGTAATAAATCTAAATAAATCGTCATAAATTGTAATCTGAAGAACAAATCGTAATTAACCGTAATAAATCGTCATAAATCATAATAAATGGTATTAAATCGCAATGAATAATTGTTCTAAATCGTCATTAATCGTAATAAATCAAAATAAATTGTCATAAAACGTAATTAACCGTAACAAATTGTCGTAAATAATAAATCTTAATTAACCGTAATAAAGCTAAATACATCGTCATAAATCGTATTAAATCGTCATAAATTGTAATCTAAAGAACAAATCGTAATTCACCGTAATAAATCATAATAAATCGTATTAAATCTTGTAATATGAAAAACAAATCGTAATAAATCATAATAAATCGTATTAAATTGCAATGAATAATAATTGTTCTAAACTGTCATAAATCGTAATTAACCGTCAAAAATCGTAGTAAATCAAAATAAATCGTCATAAAACGTAATTAACCGTAACAAATGGTCATAAATCATAATAAATCGCTATAAATCGTAATTAACCATAATAAATCGTAATAAATTGTAATATGAAGAACAAACCAAAGTTAATATTGAAATAATTATTTTTATTTCGCACAACAGACGAATACATAGAATTAAATTGCTTTATGTCATTCAACCGTTTAAGAAAATGTTTTTTCATTTAATTTGGAAAAGTTGGGGGAAGTGGGTTAAAAATGAAAGATAAAAATTTACTTACCATCTAGTTTAGCCCACAAGTTATTCGTGTTGAAGAATTTGAAAGTTTTAACAGATTTGAAATCGTCTACGTGCTCTTTGGGTACTTGTGCTATTTCCAACAGTCTTAGTTTCCCTTCGTATTGAATTAGAGTACCACCCTGTAACATACGTTACGTATTTATAAGAAACAAATATTTTTAATACGATTTTTAGACTGATATTCTTTTTTTACATTGCTGAGATGAACATAATTATTTTTCTATTATTAAAAAAATATTAAAAAATATTTTTTATTTGTTTATATTAAGTTTCATCTGATATAAAATAATTTAAAGTAGAAAAAAACTGGTAAGTGCCATTTATAAATAAATAATTTTTCTTGTGTACATATTTACGCTTTTTATTTATGAATTTTTTAAAAGTTCCGTTATAGGAATATGACCCTTCGGAACTTGGACACTATAGTGTTTATATGTTTTCTGTTTATTTATTCTGTAAATATTTTTAAAAGGATTAAAACACTTCTCACACAATAAACCGTCAATATTAAATATTTTCCATAAACATGTATTTACATGTGGCTAATAAATATTTGCTAATGTTGATACTATTTAAGTCCAATGTCTCTATATAAAGAAAAATACTTATGATAACATCAATAAAATTGTTTGTAAATATAATTTCGTATTTTTTTTAAAGATGATTATCAACACGATAATTTTAATAATAATAGAAAATTTTAAACAAAACAGACAGTTACAAGACTGTACTGTTTTCATATTGAACAAATTTCAAGTAAATTTAAGAATTTTAGACTATATTTGAGAATTTTAGAATAATCTCACAAATTTTAAGGTAAATTCGCAAAATAGAGTTCAAATTTACAAATATTAAGGTTAATTATCTATTGTTAGACTAAATTTACGAATTTTAAAATAAATTTACGAATTATAGAGCAAATTTACAAATTTTAAGATAAATTTACTAATTTTAATGAAAATCCATGAATTTTAAGGCATATTCATGAATTTTTAATTTTAGACCAAATTATAGACTAAATTTACGAATTTTAAAATCAAATTTACCAATTTTAAAATCATTTCATGAATTTTGAGGCAAATTTGCGACCAGATTTACGATAATTAGTGAAATTATAATATAAATTCAGGAATTTGCGCAAATTTTAAGACAAATTCACGAATTTTAGATCACATTTGATAATTTTAGAATTTAAAAATTCTCGAATTTTTTACCAAATTTATGAATTTTAAAAAAATACGAATTTTGAGGCAAATTCATAGGTTTCACACCAAATTTAAGATTTTTAGAATAAATTTACGAATTTCAAGGTAAAGTCACGAATTTCATACTAAATTTACGAATATTAGAATAAATTCACGAATTTTGAGACAAATTCACGAATTCCAGACTGTATTTACGAATTTGGTATAAATTCACGAATTTTAAGGCAATTTCGCTAATTTTATGTGATTGGTCTTTTCTGGAAAAGTAATTTTTGGGCATTTCTCGACAGACTTTCCATGGCATGTCCGGACAAGTAATGAAAAGTTTTTGACAGTAAAAAAATTTGATATAAAGGTGTAAGGTAGTCAGAGTCGTTCTTTGCCGTTAAAGCTAGAGAGAGTCGTCGTTATATTTTGTTGGATTCAGATTAAAAAAAAACATTTTTTTAATTGTTGCATTTTGACCTTTTTCACGAATTTTAAGGCAAATTCACTAATTTTTCAAGTCCTTCTGGAAAAGTAATTTTTAGCATTTAAACATGACATGTCCGTACAAATGGTGAAGTGTCGACATTAAAAAAATAAAACGGAAACTTAAAAGACTGTATTTTCAAATTGCACAAATTATAAGTAAATTCTTTACAAAAACCACATTTGAGAATTTTAGAAGAAATTCACTAATTTTAAGTCAAATTCGCCAATTTTAGACCAAATTTATGAATTTTAGAGGCACTACACGAATTGTAAGATAAATTAAATAATTTTAGACCAAATTTACGAATTTTTGAATAAATTTCCGAATTTTAAGATAAATTGAATAATTTTTAGGAATATTCATGAATTTTTAGAATAAATACACGAATTTCAAAGGAAATTAGCTAATTTTAGACAAAATTTACGAATTTTAATGTAAATTTGTGACTTATAGACCAAATTTATGAATTTTAGAATAAATTCACGAATTTTGAGACAAATTCACGAATTTCAGACTAACTATACGAATTATGGAATAAATTCACAAATTTTAAGGCAAATTCGCTAATTTTCAGTGATGGTTTTTTCTGGAAAAATAATTTTTGAGCATTTCCACATTTCCATGACATGTCTGAAAAAGTATTTGACAATTAAAAAACTTGATATATAAAGGTGTAAGGTAGTCATGGCCGTCTCTATGCAAGCCAGTCAGACCCATAGTTGTATTTTATGGATTCCGAACATACTTTTGTTTTTATCTGTTGAATTTTGACTTTTTCCAAGAAAGTGCTGTTTGATATCCTCTGAACATAGAAGACACACACTTAAATGTTTCTTCATCATGGATACATTTTCAGAAATACTTTGAGGACAATAAAAATTTCATTTATATTTTAGACAATGGATTGTTTTAGTAATTTTTGCATGTTCTTGGTTGTACAAGATATTAAAAGAAAATAAGAATTAAAAATCTCAAATATGGAGTATATTATATCTCAAACAATATTCAGAAAACCCTCAAAACATATAAAGTCAATAGTCATTTGTTGTTTCTTTTTTTAACTATATTTTGCCTTTGATCCATCACTCATAATTTTAATTTAAATTCGTGAATATTTAAGGCAAATTCACGAACTTTAGAATAAATTCACGAATTATAAGGTAAATTCACGAACTTCAAACCAAATTTACGAATTTTAGAGTAAACTCAGGAATTTCAGACCAAATTTACGAATTTTAGAATGAATTCGTGTATTTTAGAATAAATTTGCAAAATCTAAGGAAAATTCACTAATTTTAATGTAAATATCAGATCAAATTTACTAATTTTTGGATTAATTTTTGAATTTTAGAATAAATTTACGAATTTTAGAATAAATTTAAGAAGTTTAGAATAAATTTACAAATTTTAGAATAAAGTTACGAATTTTAGAATAAATTTACGAATTTTAGAATAAATTCACAAATTTTAGAATTCACAAATTTTAATGTAAATTCACGAATTTTAAGGCAAATTCACGAATTTTAGACCAAATTTACAAATTTAAAAATATATTCAAGAATTTTAAAGTAAATTCTAGATTTTCAGATTGAATTTACTAATTTTGCAACGAATCGATATTTTTTAAAAAACTGAATTACTCACCTTAACATCAGCCCTTGTCTTATCAGTAACTTCCATCACGAACTCATGTTGTCCCTTCTCGTTGTCAGGATTTAAAAGTAAATTCAAAATATTTAAATCTACGGTCGCTCCCAAATTATCGATGTTAGAGATGAAGCAATAGTCTCTGCCTTCCTTTAAAAACCTTTCTAACAGCCCGGAGTTTTGGAAACTGCTGTAGAAATCACCGTGGCCTAAAATAGAGACAAAATAAATTTAAAACTATCGTTTTTTATTTAAATCGGATAAAAAATAATTACCTGGAGGGAACCAAGCTTCTAGATTATTTTGAACATTGCCATCTTTGGGTACCGGTAATAAAGAATCCCGGTTCACTCTGGGATAACATGATTGGTTGAACGTGTGGATTTCGACTTGAAGATTTTTATATTTGCGAATAATTTTTTCTGTGTCTTCATCCGTATTGAATGAGTTCATGAGTACTAGTGGTACGTTTACTTTGTAAGTTTTGTTTAGATTCTGAAAATAAATATGAAATATTTTTACAAAATCGCAACAAAAAAAGGTACAAGCTAGTTACCTCGATCTGTTGAACAGTCAAATCCAAAAAGGTAAGATTGTTTCTAACGGTTATCACAGATTTCGGCCCGTGGCATCCCATAGAAGTACCCAAACCACCATTCAACTTCACCACCACCAATTTGTTCAACATTTGATGCACCAAATCAGCTGTGGGCTTTTGTAGAGTCGTGTAGTCTCTGACAGCGTCGTCAGGAAGTCTTTCGATTTTTTCCCAATCAACTAAAGCAATTACATTTTAATATGTAGGTATGTGAAAAGAAGTGGATATAGAAAGAAATGATAATAAGAGTGCTGTAGAGGTGCAGATTAAGAATAGGCCACTGCTATTTCTTAGAGGACCTATTCAGAATTGCATAAGTGGCTTTACCATTGTAGAAACGTAGCCAAGGCAAAGTCATTCTACTTGAGTACCCAACTACTTAGACTCTAACTCTAATATTACTGTTCAATGATACGAAGCAATTGCCTGGGTGATTGCCTTAAGCTAACAAAACCTAAGAAGAGGAAACAAAGGAAAAAGAAATATGTATCCTTACCAGAAGGTCCTGTTTCATCCAAGAACCTAGTGAACAATTTCGTGAATCCATTATATTGTTTTTTGGTTTCATCTAATTTGGTTGGCTCTTTGATAGTTTGAAGTATTTTTTCTAGCTCTTTTTGTAACCGATTCAAGGCATCCCGCTTCGTAGCTTCAATAAACTGGGTGGAATCGCTTGCATTTCGCGAATGGCCTCGAACCTAGGGAAAAAATACGTATAAGCACAACAAAATCATACATTTAAGGCAAATTCACGAATTTTAGACCAAATTTGCGGGTTTTAGAACAAATTCACGATATTTAAGGAAAATTTACGAATTTTAGAATATATTTACAAAATATAAGGTAAATTCACTAATTTTAGACTAAATTCGCGCATTATATAATAAATTCACAAATTTTAATATAAATTCACGAATTTTAGATCAAATTTACGAATTTATTTTAGAATATATTTAAGAATTTTTAGACCGAATTGCCTAATTTTGAATTGAATCTATATTTTTTTGAAAAGTTTGTTTTGGCACGTTCACTTTTCAAACATGTCCGGCGAACACGTGTGTGGATATTTCGGAGAAACCTATTATTACTAATTTTAAGGAAAATTCACGAATTTAAGACCGAATTTACGAGTTTAAGAATAAATTCACAAATTTTAAGGTAAATTTAGAAATTTTAATATAAATTTAGGAATTTTAGACCAAATTTACGAATGTTAGAATTATTTAAAAAAGTCAATTCAAGAATTTCAGACCTTATTTACGAATTTTGCAACGAATCTATATATAGTCTCTTTGAATCTATTGTCTCGCATAAATTGTTTATAAATTAGAAAAGTAATAATAGGCCCAAGTTCGATTCTTAGGGAACCCCCTAAAAAGCCAAATATGTTTTAGATTTATAGCCATTATAATGATGACGATGGATGACAAAGATTGGACATACTTTAGTTAACTCATTAATCTACTGATATTAAATAGTGCCATACATAGATTATTGATAATAATTGCTTAAGTGACACTTAAATGACACTCAAAAAAGCTATTAGTTTTTTATCAATGATAAAATCAAGTTTAGTTTGCGATAATTTTTAAGCTTTACCAAGGTGACTGTTTCAAGTTCAATGTCAAATATAATAATATAGGAAATAATATTTCTAAACTACTGCAGGGAGAATTATAAAAGATGAATATGATTCATCAATGTATAGAATCCTAATTAAAAAAAAAAAAAAATAGAATTCCTAGTGATCTGTCACTACTAATTTTAATGTAATATTTAAGGCAAATTCACAAATTTTGGACCAAATTTACGATTTTTAGGATACATTTACGAATTTTAAGTTAAATTCGCGAATTTTAGACCAAATTTACGAATTTTAGAATTATTTAAAAATGTTTTGAAGTAAATTCAAGACTCTTAGACCGAATTTACGAATTTTGCAACGAATCTATATTTATCTATATTTCGCATAAATTGTTTATAAATAAAAATAATAATAATGGGCCCAAGTTCAATCCATGGGGATCCCCCGATAAAACCAAATAATTTTTAAATTTATAACCATTATAATGATGATGAGGATGATAAAAACTTTAGACCTTCTTTATATAGTTAATTTTCAATAATCTACTGCCCTACATTTAAGTAGAAATATCGGTATGCATTTATTTATTCCTCTTATTTAACCTCATTATTGTAAAACCAACATTTTTAGGCCTTATGATGGCATACAGAGGCCGAAACCAATCGCCCCATCGTTATATAAATTAAAATTAATAAAATTCATCTAATAAAAAATATCCCAAAAAAAAACGAAAATCTCAAAAAGATCCAAAAAAATCAAAAACAATATCGAGGAATTAAAAAATAATCTGAAAGATTCTCAAAAAGAATCTCTCTCAAAAAGACTAATTCTAACATTTCTTTTTTATTTTTTGTTAAACCTACATTTTTTGACATTTCTGTTTTGTTTTGGATAAAGATATCATAATGTTTCTCAGTTCTGACTACTTATAATAACTTTAATAAATGTTGAAATTAAAATACTTATTTTTCTTAATTACGACTTTATGATCGTAGAAAAAATACTATATGCAACTCACATTTAATGGGAATTCAGTACAACACTCGCCAAAGCTCGTGTCGTAATTTTCATACTCGTGTCTTAATAACTATCATTAATAAAGACCGGACATTTTAATCGCGTTCAAATAATTGGTTTTAATCACATAGGCGTCTCATTCTGGGTTCGCTATTTAAGACGGCAGACAGTGCGGCAGATTCTAATACTATCAGGACAAACCTCTTTTTTTTATTAAAACAAGATAAAAAAAGTGTACTGATATATACATAGACATTAAAACTAATACAAAAAAGTGAGATTTTTTTTTATCGTGTACCTATATTCTTTGTCTTTTGAATCATTTTCATTAAACAAATTTAATGTTTTCTTCTCACCAACGCCGAGGATATGTAGGATATTTTACAAAAGTTTTTAGTAACCTCAGATCCTTTAATTTGTGGCCTGAGAAATTTTCCTTAAAAAAAAATAACTTTTTTGATGAAGATGTTAAACTTTTCATAAGCGAGTTTAAGGTGTAGTAATGTAAACGATATTCTGTATGATATTTTTTTTATTATTATCTCTTATATAATTACAAAATATCTATTCCTCAATATTTTGGCGTGGTACACTACTCTCCTGCCTAAAATGAGGATCGAGGACCCCAGCTGCCTCCCCCGAATTTGTTATTTCCTCCAGAAAATTGGAAATTTCTAGCCTTAGCTGGTCCCGATTCATTGTTGGAAAAATTGCATCGGGGCCAAATATTAGGACTCTACGAGCGTTTGGACTAAGACGCTGTAGAGAGGGCCTAAAATGAATGTCAAATAGGCCCATCATATGTTGTCTTATACTTTCTCGATCCATTGTCGGTTAGTTGCCGGTGATATTTTTATTCAAATAAAGTCAATCCTTATATTATATTTATGAATATTTTGGCTTTTATCGATACCGTACATACCGATTTTTTGTAACAAAAAATTTATGTTTTTATTTCCTGTGGATATTATGGTACTTATACACGATGAGACAATAAAATAAATGTCTGTTAAATTTCTGTAATGTATGTATTAATTCAATTGCTCACTCTATATAGGTATCTGTTGGTTGAAAAAATGTAAAAAGATAACAAAGAGTCGATAAACAGGAGATTTGAGAAGAAAGTGTCTTGTAAAAATATCACTAGATTTTTCCAATGAGTATATTTGTTTAGTTCAAAGGGAAAAGTGATAGAAACTGGAAACGTAAATATGGAAAATTTATTATCGGACTTTGATTGTTTTCGTCGTTTTAATGACAACAAATTATACTGCCGCAATTGTGATCAGGTGTTAGTTTTTAATGGAAAGTCAAGTATGACACAACATGTGAAAACACAAAAACACATGCAATCTTTAGAGGGATGTCCAGACAAAATCTTTTATGAAGATTTATGCAACGCATTTGTTTCTGCAAATATTCCATTAACAAAATTAAATAATACAATTTTCAAAAATTTTCTTTGTAAATATACTAAACGTAAAATACCGGATGAATCCACAATTAGAAAACATTATATTCAAAATCAGTACGATAAAGCAATGACGGCAATAAAAACGAAAATTTCCAGCAAATATATTTGGGTTAGTGCAGATGAAACGACTGACATAAAGGGTAGATGTGTTGTTAATGTTGTTGTAGGATTATTAAGTGCTGAAAATACTTCACAACAGTATTTAGTTTCTAGTGTGTTTCGTGAAACTGTGAACGCTGAAATGATTTATGAAATAGTGAAACGTGGATTGAACAATGTAATTGATAATGACGTTTCAAAAGTTTTATTGTTTATTTCAGACGCGGCAAGTGTAATGTTGAAAACAGGGAAACTATTACAAGAACATTTTCCAAACATGCTGCATGTAACTTGCCTTGCTCACGCGTTACACCGAGTTTGTGAGTTTATCCGTGACAGCTTTCCAGACATTAATTCGTTGATTAGCTGTTTTAAAAAAATTTTGTTAAAAGCACCGTCCCGAGTTTCTTTATATAAAGAAATATGTCCGAATATCCCCCTACCTCCACAACCAGTTATTACACGATGGAGAACTTGGTTACAGGCTGTGTTCTTTTTTTCGGAGCATTTCGACAGACTAAAAGTATTTATTTCCAACTTATCAGAGGACGCTCTCTCTATCACTCAGTGTAAAGGTTTAATAACAAAAACAACTTTGCAGTCGGAGTTAAATTTTCTTGCGACTTATTTTTCGTGTCTCCCAGAAACTATAAAATTCCTTGAAACCCGTAACTTACAATTATCGGTTGCTATGGAAAAATTTGAATCGACATTGTTACACTTAAAAAACGTAAAGTGGCCCTTACAAGATAAATTTAACCATAAAATAGATTGTGTTATTAAAAGAAATCCAAATTTACAGACTCTGAAACAAATCTCCCTGAACAATTTTAACGATTATGAAACTGCTTTAAAATATTGTGATTTTGTTCCACATTTTTCATTTGCTCCTGTAACGAGTTGTGACGTAGAACGATCGTTTTCTAGGTTTAAAGATTTATTGACTTCTAAAAGAAGTAATTTCACTGAAGACAATTTAGAAAAATATGCAGTCATACAAACATATTTTTCAAATGAAGAAGATTGATATTAATTTGTATTGTATATATTGTATATAATTGTATATTTGCTACTTTAGGATAAAGAGTGTATATTGGAACACTCTAAACATAAAACTAATGATGGTGTATCCTCGTTGATATATTTATTAGTCAATAATATATTAACAGAAAAAGCCAACAACATTATCCCACAACACAATAAAAAAATAAATAATAATATCATTTGTAATTATATAATAATATCCAACCAAATTTGAACTAAAATTTAATAAAATAATTATTGCAATGTAAATGTAATAATAAGCCCGCCCCAAATGTTACGCCCGGGCGATAAAAATCCAATATCTTATCTACTGTGTCGACCAGTTCAGTAAATAACTTGTTTTATTCAGAATGTATTATTCAAATCGAAGGTCCGCTCTTACCGTTACTTCGCTGATAAGAATAAATTAAATTGTCCGGTCTTTAATCATTAAATATTCGTTGCATAATATTATGGAATTGTCAGAAAGTTAAAAATGT